CCTTTTGAAAATAGCCGTCCTACTGATATGATAGCTATGGGATGGTGTTGTGATCTAGACAGTTTAAGTTCTAAAAGGAACCTTAAGATTGATGGCCATGTCCTGCTCCCAGTGAAAACCAGAACAATAGTTTGGGCAATAATGACCTAAAATTATCCTAAAGCAGGGAGAAAAAAAATTAAAACACAATAAAGACAAACGAAGCAAAACATTTTGTCACAAAAATGACATGCATGAAATCTGTAGTTCATTTTTATTTTGTGATATAATTAACAGACAAGGCGCAATGGGCTGTGCATTTCTTTATCAAAGGTACCATGTCAATACACATAGCTTCTGTTTGCTTTTCTTTATTTTTTCATCTTTATACACTTGGAAATGGATTATCTATACCTATATCATCTGTATCTATACTTACATCTATCTGTGGCTATATCTGTTTTTATATCTATCTAACATCTATACTTATATAGGTCATCTATATCATCTATATCTATATCATCCATATCTCTCTATCTCCCTCCTACCTCCCTCATATCACCCTTTTTAAGCCAGCTCAATCACTGATTGCCTAAAAGCGCAGAGACTGTTTGTTTATTGAGATCAATAGTAAATCACCAAGAGTTGGAGAACACTGTGAGATATCCAGTCTGTAGCTAGATTCTGATCTAAAAACCAAAACCAAAGTGTCCCTCTAAGAAGTGACATTTTCACTGTAGCAGTGGCCTGTGTAAACAAGATGTCCAAGCATCACATTGTAGTCCTTCCCTGCCCTCTGCTGGTAGCTGTAAGTAAAGAACATGAACATGAAAGGATTAACAAAATGACTTAACTGATGCCAAAATGACTTAATTGGTTCTAGTCAGTAGAGATTCCCTCTGTTAGGAACTAGACTTGAGGGCAAGGCTTCAGTGGAGGATGTATTAAGGGAACCAAACAGCATTCCCAAATTTAACTGAGTACATATTTCTGGGTGAACAAGGAAGGCACTGGTCGGGGATCCCTGTGGTTTCTAAATCACTTTACTTGGTATAGCATCTAAATATTTTCCAGGGATTAGAAATTTCAGCTAAAAGCAGGTAGACCTTGGAATCTTGCAGGTATTTTTTTTCAGACAGTAGCCAAACACCGTTCCTGCTTTTACTCACTTGTTCAGTGTGGAGTAGGATTGTGGTTGACTCCCTGGGGAGACAGTGGGGTCCAGTTTCACAGGGCACCCAATTGTCCACTGTCAGTTGATAGCAGAAAGAGAGACTTGGGAGAATGCAGTGGCCCACTCCAGCTTTCAAAAAGTCAAGAAAAGCAACCAAATCTTAGCAATGAAAAAAATGTGTTATATTGAAATAGTTCTCTCTTTTGATAAGACTAAACATAAATAATAAATACATGATCCCTTCAAATCTGTAATGTTCTATACTGCTCATTTACTCAGAGAGACTAATTTTGAATGGAGTGTTTACTGCACACACACACAAAAATAAAATCTAAAAATAAAATAAAATAAACCAATGTTACCAATGCACAGATTTTTAGGAGAGAAATGATCCTTAGTTTAACTGTTCTTTGGATGTACCTGGAACACCACTGAGATCCTGGCTGGTACCAAACAGGAATTATGAAAATATTAAATGAAGACATAGAGGTGAATACTTGGATGGCTGTTAAATTGTCTTCTTCATCCAGTAGAAAATAGACACTGAAGATTGCCATAGACATCTCAAAATAAAGACATATCATTTAAAAAATATTCATTGTTTATCACAGAATGTTTCAAACTTTTAAACTAGAGAAAAAATGTTAGTACTTTTTTTTTATACTGAAATTCAGCACCACTGCTGAAAGGAGAGGAAAAGAACATGTAGTCCACATCATGCAACCGCACATCTTAGACATCAGGACATGCTTAAGACCATGTAGTCAGATTTTTTTAAGGCATTCCAGAATTTCACTAGCGTTATAGCTCATGTTGAACATGTATACCAGTTCATCTTTTCTTTAAAACAGAGAAGCTGGTGCTGGAGAGATGGCCGTCTGTCCAGAGCTCTTGCTGCTCCTGTAGAGAACCCACATTGAGTTCTCAGCACACACAGTGAGTGGCTCACAACTGCGTGTAACTCCAGGTCAAGGGGACCTGGTACTGTCTCGCAGCCTCTGCAGGCACTAGACATGCTGTGGTCCACATCCATCCATGCAGGCACTTACATATACACGTGAAATTAAAAAGTAAAATAGCTTTAAAAATAAAGGAAGGAAGTGAAGTTCAAGTTCCTATCTGGGCTGTGTGTGTCCATTCTGACACATATGATTTTGCTTTCCTTCACAATTAAAGTCCCTGAAAAGCATGTCAGTAGATCCTAGAGAGTAAGGTTTGTATTTGTTCTGACTAGTTGTCCTAGTTTGCTTTCTGTTACTTTGATAAACACCTTGACCAACACTACTTAGGAACTACTTACTATAAAGGGTTTATTTCAGCAGACAGTTGACCGTCTATCATGATGAGAAGCCAGGGCAGGAACCTAGCATCAGGAACTAAAGAAGAGACCCATGCTGCCAACTGGCTTCCTTTCCATAGCTTATTCAGCCTGCTTTCTTATACAACCCAGGACTGTCAGGCCAGAAGCAGAACTGCTCACACTGGCTAGGTGCTCCCATATGAATCATTCATGAAAACACCCCACATACCAAGCTGATATAGGTGGTTCCTGAAATTGAACCTCCTCTTCCCAGGTGACTCGAGTTTGTGTTATCTTGAAAAAAATTAAACAGTGCACTAGTGTCTCTTAGGGATGTGGAAAAGTCATTTACATGTGAGAATGCATGTACTATCATGAGTAACCTCCTGGCATAAAGAAATAGTTGCTAAAGCCAAATGTGGTGGCTCATGCCTTTAATTCCAGCCCATATTAGGTCTAAGACTATCTTATTTCATATTTGAGTTGTATCTTTTTTTTAAGTTCTTAAGAAATTTGAATGGAGTCTACATCCTTGAACAAAAGTGTAACAAAACATGACGTTTGAGACTCATAGCAACAGAGTGAAGGGAGTCCATAATCTTCTCTGAAAACCTAAAATAGAAGTTCTCAGAACATTATTCCAAACTAATAGGAGTCATGTGCATGGCATAAGAGAAGTAAGTCCCCAGACCTCTACTTCTTACCAAGAACAGAATCTGAGGCCAGCTTTAGCAACAAGTCCATAAGAAGGCAGGGTGACTTCAGATGTCTGTGGGGGCACCTACTACATGCTATAAGAGACACATAGGATCCAGAATGTATACATATGACACAAATCAGAATCGTAAATCCTGGGCAGTTCAACCACCCTATTAATAACATACAGAGATGTGTTTCTATCCAATGAATCACCACAGTAGGAGCCGCTTACTGGACTGGATACAGATATAGTTTGATGTTCTTTGTTCTTAACCTCCATTGAACCTTAAAGTTTTATTTCCATAGCCTCTGTCACTAGGGCGGATTAGTCCTTGCAATGGACTCACCCAAGACTCTTAATCCCCTGGTCCCTGACTTTAAAATATTAGATGACTTATATTAATTTTTATTGCAATCCACTCTTTTTAAATTAGAAAATTAATTTTCCTCAGATTTAAGTTCTCAGCAAAACTAAAAGGAAGACAGTTTGCATACATATTGTCCTCATATGTACACGACCAAGGCAGGAACTCAACTCAGGATCCTGGAGGCAGAGAGCATGGAAGAATTCTGTGTAATAGCTTATTTTCTGTGGTTGATCAGTTTCCTTTCTTAGACAGAGTAGCCTACCTGCCTAGGGATGGCTTTGCCCAGAAAAGAGTGGGCCCGTCTACATCCCCCAAGCGGGGGAAAACAACAACAAACTCTTATAGACATGCCCAGAGGCCAACCTGATGGAGCCAATTTCTAAATTGAGGTTTTCTTTTCCCAGGTTTGGTACGTTGACAACCAAGGTTTGGCTTGGGGCCAACACATATCTTACACACTGTGACCTTCAATTTTTTTTTTTTTTTTTTTACTTAATCAGGACTCTTTTCTCATCTGGCAATACAAACAACACACAACATAAACCACCTCATCATTTCATTCACAAAAGGGAAAACTTTTACCATAAGACAATCAAATAAAGCAACTTATATTTCCCAACCTAATTTTTAAACTTTGCTTTATTTTTCATTCTGGTTGCACTCTGAAGAATATGACTTGGAAAACATCTATGTGGACATGTATACACACACACACACACACACACACACACACACACACACACACACACTAAATGTTAAGACAATGAAGATTTCCTCTCTCTTAAGATATTCATAGCCAACCACTTGGATATGCACCATCCATTTTTAAAAAAATAAGTCCCAATTTTGCATCATCCCGGAATTCTTTTCTGTGACAAAAATCCAGACCCCAAGCACATGTGAGTAGAGGTCCTTAAGGGAAATCCCTGGTGCTGTAGAGAAACAGTATGTAATTCTCTCTCCATGGCTCCTGAAGAATTATAATACTTCCTTCTAGCTAGATAAGTTTAATACATTTCCCAGAGGTTCTTTGGAGACTTTATGTAAAAACTCCTTTAAGTAAGTATGCCACTTGTGTGTTTTCTGCTCATCTGACCAATAAAAGTTTCATGCAGTTTTACACATTTATTATATGTGCTAACACACCCCTCCAATTTCTTGAAGGTCATGCCTCCTCCATTCATTTACTTACTGAGTCATCTGCTGGCCACAGATAAAAACAACTGGCGTCAATGATAATGATGGAAGATAGGAAAAGCAAACACATTTCTGTTTCAGCCCTCAGAGAGTCCATAGTTTAACAGGAGCACAAAGTGAAGGGCAAAGAACACTTGTTGCTGAGTAACCGGTGGGTAAAGGGAGTCGAAAGGAAACCAGTTATTTATGAATGTGATGCAAATAAAATCGCGACATGGTAAAGAAGCAGTATAAATTTTGGTTTTCAAATTGAGTCATTTTAAACATTAGGCTCATGTTGGGAATGACGGTGTGCCAATTTAGTGTGGAAGATGCAGATCACAGTACTGTATAGAGAAGAACAGTTGGCTGCATAAAAAGATAGTGAACAGGGGAGCAACACAAAGAGGGCGTAGAGGTGGAGTGAGAATGGAACACATTTTTTTGAATACACAAATATGGAAAATATGAAAACCATCACTTTCTGAGAGTGGTTAAGTGATGTAACAGTGGGCAATGCCATCACTTAATTTCTGGATTGGGGTTTATTGGAGGTTGTCAGGACTATAGGAGAGGGAAGATGATGTAACTGAAATTGATGTCAATAGTGAAGCAGAAGTATATACAAAGTGAGCCTTAAGAATTTTTTTTAACATATAATACTATTTTTCTAATTCCCATTGAAAGACCCCCACTCCATTATGAGGACATGGGGTGTTGGGCCGATGAAATGCCCCCCCCCAAGTCCCAATAACTTAGCCTAAGAAACGCCATTCTGAAGGAATCAGAAAAACAGGAGTTCACAGCTGTGGCCAGCCATTCGGCCTTGAGAGAGAGATAACTGTGGCCAGCCATCCGGCCTTGAGAGAGAGATAACTGTGGTCAGCCACCGGCCTTGGGAGAAAAACCATTGAGTCAAATCAGGATATTTATAATTGGCCCCCTGGCCTTGAGGAATAAGCAGCTGAGCTGGAAAAACGCCCACTATACCCTGGGCAAGGCCAAGTCAGCCACATACATCAAATTTCCGAAAATTAAGAATACGACCCCAAGTTCACCCTGGCCTTCTTTGAAACAACCAATAGGAGCCCTGTAACTATGCTTCTCACTTCTGTAACCGCGCCTCTGCCCCTGGGATCCTATAAAAAGTCCCCCTTGCCCTAGGAAGGCGCGCAAGTCCTCCAAGAGACTTCGCCCCAGGTACCTGTGTATCTGAATAAACCCTCTTGCTGTTTGCATCTGATTCGTGGTTTCGGCGTGTTCCTTGGGTTTGGGGTCTCTCCTGAGGGAAGATCTCACCTGGGGGTCTTTCATTGGAGGTCCCACCGAGATAGAGACCCCTCCCTGGGACCACCGACCCACCGTCAGGAGGTAAGTCGGCCGGCCTCGGTATATGTCATCCCTGTCCTGCCTGAGTGTTGTCTGTTTGTCTGCACACCTGATAATCTGTCTGTGGCGGTGGGGGCTGAAGGAGCTGACGAGCTCGGACTTCGCCCACCGTGACCCTGGAAGACGTTCCACGGGTGTCTGAAGTCCCCTCTGGGGCACGGTTTTTTGGGGCCACTCACGTATCTGAGGGATACGTGGTGTTGGTCGGAGACGAGGGGTCCGGACCCTCGCAGTCTCCTTCTGAGGTTTTGCTTTCGGTTTGGAACCGAAGCCGCGCAGCACGTGTTAGTCTTATTTGCGTTTGCCTGTCGTTCTTTGTTTTCTGTTTAACCGTTCTCCTCCTAGAAACAGCCATGGGACAGACTGTCACCACCCCCTTGAGCCTCATGCTTGACCACTGGTCAGACGTGAAGACACGAGCCAACAACGAGGGAGTCGTAGTCAAGAAGAAAAAATGGATCACTCTTTGCGAGGCCGAATGGGTCAGGATGGATGTAGGATGGCCTCGTGAGGGAACCTTTAACCTCAGTCTTATTTCACAGGTGGAGGGAAAAGTTTTCGCTCCGAGTCCCCATGGCCACCTGGACCAGGTCCCATACATCGCCATGTGGAGACTCCTGGCAACAGAACCCCCCCCCCATGGGTTAAGCCGTTTCTCTCCCCTCCAGCCCCCCGGCAGCAGCAGCGCTCGCTGAATCCCGGGGCCGAGGAAGCCAGGGCGGGCGACCGGCCACTATCGGGTGCACTTCCACCATGGCGGTGCGCCGCGACCGGCTCCGGGACGGCTGGGGAGGCCCGGGTTGGGGAAGGTGTCTGGGGAGGGACAGCGCCACCCGTGGGCACCGAGCCACCCCGCCCCGAGTGTTACAGCCCCCCGACAGCACCACTGCTCCCTCCCGCCCCTCCTACCTCCTCCCTTTACCCTGTTCTCCCACGAAAGGATCCCCCTAAGGTCCCTGTCCTTCCCCCAGACCCCAATTCACCTCTTATTGACCTCCTGACAGAGGATCCACCGCCATACCCGGGGAATCGGGTGCCAGAGGGACTGGCGGCCCCTGCAGCAGCGCCGGAGGGACTGGCGGTCCCCGCAGCGACCCCCGAACAGCCTCTACAGAGAGAGCGGGAGGATGAGGCTCCAGCTCCCTCCCCAATTGCCGGTCGCCTACGAGGAAGGCGCAACGAACCAGCCAAAGAATCCAGGGCCTTCCCCCTTAGGGAGGGCCCTAACCACCAGCTCCAATACTGGCCGTTTTCGGCATCTGATCTTTATAACTGGAAGCAACATAATCCTCCTTTCTCTAAGGACCCTGTTGCCTTGACTAACCTGATTGAGTCCATTTTAGTGACCCACAAGCCCACTTGGGAAGATTGTCAGCAGTTCCTGCAGACCCTCCTGATGGTGGAGGAGAAGCAGCGAGTCTTCCTGGAGGCTCGGAAACAGGTTCCAGGAGACGATGGAAGACCCATCCAATTGCCTAATATCATTGACGCAGCCTTTCCCCTCACCCGCCCGAACTGGGACTTCGAGACCCCAGAAGGTAGGGAGCACCTACATCTCTATCGCCAGTTGCTCTTAGCGGGTCTCCGAGGGGCTGCTAGGTGCCCCACCAATTTGGCTCAGGTTAGGAATGTGATCCAGGGAAAGGAGGAGACGCCGGCAGCGTTCTTGGAAAGACATAGAGAGGCTTATAGGATGTATACCCCGTACGATCCGGAAGATCCAGGACAGGCGCTGGGTGTCATCTTGTCTTTCATCTATCAGTCAAGTCCAGATATAAGGGCCAAGTTACAGAGACTAGAAGGATTGCATTCATTCAGTTTGTCAGATTTATTGAGAGAGGCAGAGAAAGTGTTTAATAAGAGAGAAACTCCCAAAGAGCGGGAGGAGAGGATGTGGCAGAGGCAAGAAGAGAGAGATAAGAAACGTCATAGAGAAATAAGTAAAGTCCTGGCCACTGTAGTGTCTCAGGGACAGGTCAGAGAGGGAGTTAGGACGGGAGATCAAAGAAAGACACCGCTTGACAAAGACCAGTGTGCTTACTGTAAACAAAGAGGACATTGGGCTTGTGACTGCCCAAAGAAGCCTCAAGGGTCTCGGAGACCTAAGCCAAGGGCCACGGACCTCTTCAATCTGGAGGATTAGGGAGGTCAAGGCCAGGAGCCCCCCCCCCCCC